AACATCCCGAGCAACACCGCAGATATCAACACGTACAACAACATTACAAGCAACAACATCACAAACACGTACAACATTACAAACAACAACAGCACAGATATCAACACATACAACAACATCCCAAACAACAACATTTTAAACAACACCACAGACTTCAACGCGTACAACAACTTCTCAAACAACAACACCGCAAATGCAAACAACATCACAAACACATACAATATTACGAACAACAACACAAACAACGGCGAAGTTTTCAACGCGTACAACAGCACCACAAGCAACGACATAAATAGCACAAACAACAGCGCGAACAACAACGACGCAAACAACGCAAAAACTCGATTGAAGAAGAAGTACCGAACGAAGCAGGAGGCCCTGACGCTGCTGATCATCGAGGCCATCAACAGCTGCCAGCAGGGACTGGCCGTAGCAGACATCTACTCCTACATCAGTCAGAAGGACTCCAACTACCCAGCCAGCGATCAAACCTGGCATCAGAACGTTCGCTTCTCTCTCACTCACAACAAATATTTTTACAAATCCAACCTGAGCCGTTCGAACGGAAGAGGAAGACTGTGGCTCTTTGATCCGGTGAGGTACAATCAGGGCAAGGAGGAAGTGAAGGAGAGGAGGAGGCAGAGAATGGCTGACCTCAACCAGAAGGTTAGAGGTCACCAGCTCAGCAACCGGATGGATGATTCAACTTCATCCGAAGCATCATCAACATTTAGATCTTTGTCTCAAGTTCAATCGCCATCTCCTGCTACTGTCACGAACTACACTGCACCCGTCAACAAAGGCAGCTGCATCAGCCACAACAACACCAGCCAGAACACTAGCGACAACGGCAGCAACAACAACATCGGCTACAACAACATCGGCTACTGCAATAGCAACAACTTTAGCAACAACACCAACAACAACAATAATAACTTCAGCAGCACCAGCAACAACACCAACAACAGTAACTACAATTCCATCAACACGAACGACTCAAGCAGCATCGGCCACATCGGCAACAACATCGGCAACAACACCAACTACATCAGAAACAGTGGCAACAACGTCAGCAATATTGGTGGCGACAACACGCAACTTTTAACACAAACCAGCTGCAGAAACCACAACAGAAACACCAACATCGGTAACACGATCAACCTCTACCAACAACAAAACGTCTACCCTACCAACAACTACCACTCGTTCAACCATTTAACTCCCTGTGCAACGACCAACCACTTTACGACTTCCAGATTCTCTGCAGCAACAACAAGATCAGCCGCCACCCTGCAGGGCCACTGTTTCGACGCCTTAGAGCAAACATTTGACTGCAACACACCGAACTATTTTCCTATGGCAACATCGTCATCTTCGCAAGCAGCCTTTTACAATCGACAACAATATGAACAACTGCAACAACAACGACGGCGACTTCAACAACGTCCTCAACACCAACCATATCTACAGTACCAAAGGCAGCAGCGGTGGCAGCCACAAAGAAACATGACGTCATCAACGTACGACAACCAGTCGACGACGATGAACAGCAGCGATGGATATGCTTCGTACGGCAATTGGAACACGACAACTACTTACGCACGTGATGTAGCGCCACCACAGATGAACTCCGCGACCTACCTCGCCACATCGGAACCTTCAGGGCCACCATCCAACCACATGAACAGTTACAGCTACAACTACCCACAACCTTCACAACGTTACGTCACCAATCAACATCAGGTGCTTCCAGACCAGGATCAATTCACCCAACGGTCATCCAGCCATCCCACATTCGCTGGCACTTCCGTCAAACGCCCCAACACAAGCATGGATACAACAACATATCCGCCAAACAAGCGGTGGTGCGGTCCATCCCAATACTACCCCGACCCGGATGACTTTAATAACCATTAGCTTTTATATTATACTTTTATCTTATGTGAGTTTTTTTTATGTAATTTAACTAGTAGTTTTTATATGTTTTTAGTTTTTCTCGCATGTGCATTTGATAGTGTACACGTCCCGTATTTACACAGAGTACCTTCATATCCCCTGGTTCTGTTTAACGTTTTTACATGTTCTTCAAACGTCCTTATTTATTTTTATACACATTTTATAACAGACGATCAATTTTGCAAAGATTTTTTCATTGCTTTCGGCATATCTTACCTGCTTTTTTTACGTGATATTTTTATAGTTCAGTTTTTTGGATGTGATATTTTTATGGTTTCAAAGATTATTTGGAAGAATAAAACATTTTTAATTAAATATAGCGAGACAGAATTCGATAAGTTTCATAAACTTGTTTATTGTAACCATCATCATTAACGTCGTTGTCTTAGTTGACGGGTTAAAAGGTACTAATTACCCACGTACACCAGCTTACACACACACACACATACACACACACACGCATGCACAAATTCAAGCCTAAATAATAATAAGTTAAGAAAAGTGATAAATAGACATAAATGACGATCAGAGAACAAAAAGAAAAAAATATAATAAAAATTAAAAATATAAAGAGACAATGGATGCGATAGACGACTTAATTATGTAGAAAAGCATACATACACACACATACATCAGGAGCTATGCACACAAATTCATTTAAATTTATATACATACACACACACACACATATATGTATCAAACGTATACGTGTATGTATATATACACACACACACAAATACTACACATAAAACACTATATAAATGATAGTTCTAGATATAACCGATTTTTTCATGAAAAAAGTAAGAAAGCCATTGAGTAATAAAAAAAAGATTTTAGAGTTTGTGTAGAGTTATTATATGTGAATTACACCAAATTACAGCTGTTGCAGTAATAAAATAAAAATAATAGTATTAATAATAGTAGTAGTAATGAACTGACAAAACCATCAATCATTCAATCAAACATGTACATCTAAAAAAGTTTAACACACGTAAGCACGCATACACATTATATGAATTGTGAAAAAATCTGTAAACATTATCAATCAATTAAATTAATTAATTAATCAATTGATTAAATTAATATTCAAAAAAGTTTGTCTCTGTGCTTAAAAAGTGTTCATCAGCCAACCATTGTTACAGGCGTACTCATTGACATGTTAAATTTGCTAAATAACGAAGAAATTATCTATTTGAATAGGTACAGCAAGTCAGTTTTTACAGTAACGTCGATAAAAAATTAATTAAGTTAATAAAAATAATAAAATTAACATTATCAATAGAAATAATAATAAACGGTTGTACAGTGAGTGAAAAATGTGCACAACTCAATTAACGATAGTTATGATCATGCACTTTGTAGGAGGAGTCATTCAATGGATCAGGCAGAATGTGATTCCGTCTGATCTGCCCTTCAAAATGTTGACTCCATATATCTAATGTAATTAGTTGTTAGCTATCGCTCCAAGACTAGGAAAGTCTTTCTCATCGGCCACATTAGGAGCCCTCTCCCTTTGCTGCCTTCTTTCAGGGCCACCACCACGAGAGGCTCCAGGCCCACCACTCCCTCTTCTGTTGTAGCCTCCTCTGTCATAATTATCCCTGTTGCCTCTCCTTCCTCCTCCTCCTCCTCCACCTGTTCCTCTGGATCCCAGTCCACCACGACGACTGTCCGCGAACTTGATTTCAATTGGAACGATATTCTTGTGCCTGTTGTGGCGATC